GGCCGGGGGGGTTGGGGGGGGGGTGTCTTGTTTCTCTGAAGGGGGGCGTCGGGCCCCGGCGGGGGCGTTGCGGCAGCCGAGCCGGCTGCACGCCCGGCCCCTTGGCGCGAGGCGCCGCTGCTGCGGTGCCGTGGCGCGCGTCGCACCCGCATTTTCACCCCATTAGCTGCCGCCGCGCAGTCCTGCCTCGATGGCGCCCCGCCCCCAAACCCCCCAAACCTCGGTCTCATCACCAACCCTTGAAACTCCTCTGTCGTCGCCCCTCCGTCATCCTATCACCTGCGATGGCTTCTTCATCTCCCCTCCATCCCTCCGCGCCGCCGCCCAGGTCGCCGTTTGCAGAGCAGAGCGCCAGCTGGGCGGATCTGGAGGAGGTCTACGACCCCATGGCAGATGCCGGGCAGCTTCCACTCAGGTGCGCGCGCTGCCGGGTGCGCGCACCTGATGTGTGTCATTTATTGCGCGTGTTGGGGTCGTGCAAGAGCGCGGGCACATTCAAACGCATGGCTTCCGAGGTGGCGGGTACGCCCCGCGGCCATGGTTCGCGGCCCGGTGCCCATTACCGGCCGGCCCCCGCCCGCTCCATCCGGCGTTCAACCATTGTCCACCCCCCTCGCGGCCCCCACCACACGAACCCGAACCCACCACTGGACCCTCCAAAGGGTCTACGCCTTTGTGCCCCTGGACCAGTGGCGGCCCATGGCCGCGCGCGTCGCCGCCACCGGCTACGCCCACCCCAGGGGCCGCCTCTTCGTCGGCGGCGTCAAGGAATTCGCAGACGGCTCCCTAGGCAGCCGCACCGCCCTTATGCGCGACGACTATGCGGGGGAGCCCGGGGTGCGGGGCGTCAGGATGGCCCCCCTGGAGCGGCTGCGGCGCGACGCGGCCGCGGCCGACGCGGCCGGCCTGCAGATCGCGGTGCATGCTATTGGAGATCAGGCGGTCGACGAGGTTCTCGACGTTTTCGAGGGCGTGATAGCCGCGCGCGGCGCGCTGGGCGGAAGGGCGGCGGCGGCGGCCGCCGAATGCGCGCTGCGGGTCGAGCACGCGCAGCACATCAGCGGGCCCGCCGCGGCCGCGCGCTTCGGCGCGCTCGCGGCCGGCGGCGTCGCGGCGATCGCCAACCCGCAGCACCTGACGACCGACGCGCCGATGCTCGGCGCGCGCCTGGGCGGCGACCGCGCGGGGCCGCTCCGCGCGTTTGCATGGCCCGCGCTGGCCGCGGCCGGCGGCCGCGTCGCCGCAGGCTCGGACTGGCCGGTCGTCGACGCGCGGCCCTTCGAGTCCGTCGCGACCGCGGCGGCGCGAACGCGCGAGGTCGCCGCCGCGCTGACGGGCGATGACGTCACCGCCGAGGCGGCGCTCGAGGCCGCGCTGCGGCTGCACACCGCGGACAGCGCGGACGCCGCGTTCGTCATGGGGGCGCGGGTCGGGCGGCTCTCGCCCGGCCGCCGCGCAGACTTTGCGGTGCTCGCGCGCTCGCCGCTGGCGGGCGGCGGCGCGGGCGCCGCAAGCGCCGAGGTGGTCAGCACGTACGTCGACGGGCGCTGCGCGTTTGGCTGCGGCGGCGGCGGCGATGCGGGTGCGGGCGGTGGCCCGACTCCGCAGTGAGCGACGGCCGCCTGCGGGGCAGTGGGCCCACCCGCAGTCCGCGTCAGCTGGCGTCGATTTGCATGGATTCGCGTGCGCGTTCCCGCCGCCCTGGGCCGGCCGGCACCGCCGTGCTGCGCCTCTCCCCCCCCCCCCCC